TTAGAATTCGGTGTGGAGATTTAGAATTCGGTGTGGAGATTTGGAATGCGGTGTGGAGATTTAGAATGCGGTGTGGAGATTTATCACACATAGGTGTTTGAAGCGGGTTAGACGCCAGCCGCCGGAAATGGGCGTGGGTTTTGAAAGTCTTGAGGAGCGGAAGAAGCAATAATGTAACCTGCACACTGCAATATTTTTGATATTGCAGCATGCTTATTTAGCGCGTTTAATTATATTACCCCTGATAATTTCCGTGCTAACAAAAGGACCGCATCCGTTTTCCTCATACAGTTTTTTTGTCATCTTAAATGACTACAATCGTTGATTTAATGCAGAGAGAGAACAATAGAATTTCATGGGTATCAGTAATTATATGGAACTCTTGCCAAGCAGCCACATGTACACATATTAGGCCTGTTTGTAACAATCATATTTCTATCGCTTACCTGAGCTAAATTCGTTGTTTTCGCTTCTTTCAATCCACTCCTTTGCTTTATTTTGTGATTTTCTTCAAAGCTGTTTATCTAAAAAGGAAAAAACCATAATCTTATTTCTGCTGGTTCGTACGTTAAGTTATAATCCTAAGTTCGAAAATTTTTGGCCTGTAAAACAATGCAAAAGTTTTCTGCCATGCAAGCACATTCGTTGTAAATGAATTAATCGCTTATTCAGTTAGAAATAATCGTGACCTATACTCGCGTACACGTTTTTACTCAGATGATCTCAGGTAAGATTTATTATCCAGAGAGGAAATCTCTAAATGGTTTGGATAGGGTAATGCGTTTTATTCGATTAATTTTCCCTTTAAACTGTGTTATTTTTATCTACCAACTCCGGTCCCTTGCGCAGAACTGAGCGAAAAATTGTTTTTTTTGTAAATAACAAGCACTGTTCAGAATCTTCTTATTACCAATTGACGAGTTGGACGACAATTTTCATGTTCAACTCAACTCTTACCTCGTCAGCGTTACTGAAGTACAAGACTTTCTGGCGAGCTATCAGTCAATGCCAAATCTTCAAGCACAGACGCTTCCTTGAAGCTTTCAGCCACATTTTGGAAGTCAGACTTCATTACTTTACAACTTTTTCAGTTCAATCTCCCTGAGAGGTGAAACATTGCAAACCATGAGGAACCACAAAATGTAAATGAGATGAAAGATCAATCTGCACGTGCATACTCAGCCTCTCGAATGAATCCTTTTGAACGAGGTTGGTGTAAATTTGCATCTTGAGCTCCCAAGTTGAGACTGAATTTTTAAAAGTTCTCATACTTGATAGTTAGATGAATACTTACTAGTTACTTACGATTTTTTTTTTCATTTTTAAAAGCTAGGAAAAGGTTAGAAACCTAAGCAGAATGAGGGAAACAAAAAGGAGAAAAAGCTATTTTATGTAATGAACGAGAGCGTGAACTTCAAGCTACGCGTTCTAACATCCCAGAGATTTAGAGATAAGAAGAGTAGGTTTCGACAACAATAGAGATATTTAGCACCGCGTTTACGTGAAATGCGAACGGCAAGAATGACCACATGACATTGTTTTTCCCGCAAGTTTTTCACGTTTGCCGGTTGCCGGTTGCCCTTTGCTGTTTCTACGTGAAGTAGAAGTTAATGCCGGAAAAGGACACCAAAACTATTCCCTGTAATTAAGACATACAAGGGAGCCTTCTAATCCCCCAGGACGTGAGCTCACGCAAAGCTAAAGCAGCACGGTCCACGCTATTTTACGTGGATCGTAAAAGGGCAAGCTGACGTTCGCCGATTGGCGTAAACGCGGTGCTAAATCTCTTTCTCGCACTTGAGAGACTAAGACCGGTAACGCACTCAGTAAGATAAAATGGTTGAGTGAAATGTGTCAATAACATTGCTCCTGAAATGTTCAAAGAATATTTTGTCAAGATATCACATAATTACTTTACCGGGCGTAATGGTCTTGACCTTTTAGTTCCAATTGTTCACATCGAATCTACTAAGGGTGCTTTTATTTTGGGGCACAAGCTTTCAATAATTTACCACCAAACCTGAAAGAACTTGAATCTGTATTAATGTTTAAAACGAAGCTTAAAGGATTTTCTATGCAATTAACTTTTAATTTTACCTTTGATACTTCTTCTATGCATTTACTTTCCTATAGTTTTTATGTTATTAAGTATATTGCAATAGTTCTCAGGGCTTTTATTATTATTTTGCTATTTTATTGTTTCCCAGGGCACCTATTGATAACAGCTTCTGCTGACGGGTTTACCCTGGTTAAATATGTTATTATTTAACAGAACTTTTACTGAAAAACGTACAGATAGACTAAGCGTTGAGAGATCAGATGAAGTGAGGTGGGGTGAGGTTGTTGGGGGTGTATACAATCTTCTTCCAAATTCATGGCAAAATTCTGATCTTAATTCAAGGAAGTGATTCAGCAAATTGTTAATGTTGGTGCATGAAGAAATTTGATTCAGTGCGACTTGCTACTAAACCTTATACATAAGGAAGACTCAAACAATACCCACGGCCGATAAAGCTAACTGAGAAGCTTCGTAAATCTTCGGAGCGGGAAATATGTCGGCGGTTTTTTAGTTTCTCGTGGGTAATTTCGTAAATATCAGACAGAATATGAACTAAATCACATTTTCACTTGTGTCTGTCTGTAAGAAGAAACGAATTGATTCTCATAGGGAAGCTGCTGCATTCATAGAAATCGGAGTGACAACTTTTAAGATTTTGACTTAAATTTCCAAAATTGCTCCTGACGATGGTGCGATAAGGAGGAGAAAAAGTACGGCAAGACGAACACGTTAAGAAGAGCGTGTGAAGAACGCGCGGCAAAACAGTCCAAGGATTATCAACACGTTTAAAATTTACCGAGACCATCTGCACTTAAATTGAAGAACCGATTAAAGGCGCATGCGCACAATATAAGCTCCCATAATTGTGTAGATTTGATAAGTTATAGATAGGTGTCAAACTCTAAAGCGATTCGAATGGTACGGGCGATGCCCGGCATACGTGTTGGGCTACGGGGAGCTAAAGATCCGTGTTCCTCGTGATCAAGTAGAGGGACTCGCCTTTAATTTTTGACCTGGGGGCTAGCCATCGCTTGTGGTGCCCCCGAACGATGCCATCTTTCAGAAACCGTTATTGACTAAATATCACTCACAACATTTCTTAGCCCGCGAAAAAGCCCTCTCGCGGTAAAGGAGGGCGAAGCGGGAAAAGGCCGAAGGGAACCACCCAGAAATCCCTTTCCTAATCAAAACGACCCACACTTTGTTACTGTTTTTCCAATTTAAGCTCAATGGATAAAGTGTTCTAAGCATCGTTTAGATAAATAATGTTTTTAAAGAGCACAAAAAGTCTCTGGAAAAATACAATTTTCTTTCCTCAAAATGCCCTCTCACAAAACTAGAAATTGTCCCAGCAACTTATAGTTTCCCTTTTTTAAAAGTTTAATAAGCACTATGTACACAAAGCATTTGGCATAAGTTAGCCTGAGTAGCTGGCAGTTTTGGAAGTGGTTCATAGTTTCAAGTACACTTTGCAATAAGTGTAGAAGTGGTTTATCCCTTTGGTGCAAACGAAACTGGCAGCTACACAGGCTTGACATAAATCAAAAGAAATTAGCTAGTGTCCATGGCAGAAGGTTCAGTAGTAGAGGATGGTTCATCTGTATCTGTTTTGTCTTCTGTTGAGACAAAATGGACAAAGACCCTTAATAAAGTGCTAAGGGGAGGGAAGGTATTTCAACCCTTTGAGCCCATTGTCTTTTTTTTTTTTAAATTCTTAGACCCCTTGAAGTGACCAGCATCTAGTTTCGCCTTACAATATTACCCCTGAATCAAACTTCAAGGTCACAAGAATAAAGGAAATGATCACATACTAAAGAAGCTCTTGATTGATTGAGAAATTCTCCTTGTCAGCAATTTTGGAAATTTATGGAAAACAGTATGGTGAAAATATACATACTGATGTTAGAGTGTAAACAGTTAGGGAAAACTCTTACCTTCTAGCATCTGTTGTAACTCGTGAATCGTGTTGATAAGAAGATGGAACTGTTTCTGTCTCAGTTCAAGCTAAAATGAAAGAAAAAAAAATATCCAATGAAATAAATCATTGATGTTTTCAAACCACTTTTGCACTTGACTTACTCCGGCAACAGACAGAATTTCTGGTTCATAAAGTTCTGCGGGATCTATCAAGTTTTATACCATCTACATGTATTACACCTCAAAATTCCTCACACATCAACATGTACATAGTTACCATGCCCTATTAAAATGCTATGAAAATTCCGAGGAAGGGATTACATGTACTACTTAAGCCAGGTTTTCATTCATGACACAAGCACAAGTTTAAGCACAAGTGCAAGCATAAGGTTTATATGCCAAATGAAAATAAATGTTGACAAGCATAAGCACTGGCACAAGAAATAGGAAAAATTTTGATCCTTGTGCTTGTGCTATTAATTATGCTAATGTGCTCAGGTGGTTTTCACGGCAAAATACCAGCTGTTATGCTTGTGTAGCTAGTGAAAACTGGCTTTACTTACCCATCCATGGGAGAAGAGGCATAGTCTCCCTTGTTACTTAAAGTTAAGGAAACTTTGAGACATTCTGCATATGGGGTCAATAATAATGTTTATTCACCCTACCATTGGCTTTTACCCTTTAGTCTACTGTGCCCTTACTTATTTCAGTTCTTTCAGGTTTATTTACCTACCTACCTTGGAAAAAAGACTCTCTTTGGTAGTTGTGAGAGAACTGAGTTCTTTATCAAGTTCTTCAATTTGTCTGTTAGGAGAAAATTCAGTTGAGCAGTTACCATAGTTTCAATGTAGCACATGTAAACCAAATTAAAAATAAACTACTACTTAGATAGATATCTCTCAAAAACTTTGCCTGCTGGGTTCATACAAATGAGTTGCACATACTCTCTTACAACAAANGTCATATAGTCATTGTATACAACAATAAAGCTCACTTACTGTAGTGTTTCTTGCCTCTCTGGATGTTGGCTAATGACCTTGGCAAGGGCATCATATTCTAAATAAAGACTAAAGTTAGTATTCAAAATATGTTATTCTTTTGTCTCAAGCCTGGAGCAATTAAAAAAATTCTAAGTCCTCAGTTCCAAGTGACATCTCAGTGTCAGTCTCAGCCAAGTGTCAGTCTCAGCCACAGAGACTCTCATGGTGAGCAAAGCCATTCTTAGCTTCATATGTGACACATGTCCTGCAGGCTGCTTGGAAAGATGTTATGTGTCTTGTCAAGCTTGGAATGATGTTATGTATCTTGTCATCAGTGTGGGACCCGGAAAAATTGTGAGTGGAAAGAAATCTCTCTTTACTACAGAGAACTCTTCAGTGATAAACACCATTATTAGGTTAACAATTATGCTAATGCTAACATATAGACAGCTTGCCCTTAGTCAAAACTGACCAGCATTGCATACCGTAATTTCCGGCCGTTTACCCTCAGGTAATCTGTTGATTTGGCCTTAAACACACGCCACTGTGGGTAATAGGGAGGTGCAGGTTATGTGACAATTTTGAAATCTACTGGCAGTTGAATTAAAAAAATTCTCACCTACCTGCGTTTCCACCTCTCAGATGAGTTTTATTGTATTAAGAGTGCCACAAAGCGTCATAAAAACATGATGCTGACTCTAGTTTATTTCACGCACAATTAGTTGTACTACGAACAAATTACTATCGGCATGCATGTAAACAAAACCTTGATGGTGACAAAAATAAACCGAGGATAACTGGCACATCAGTAACAAATTTCCAGTTAACACTAGCTTCAGCTGAAGATAATTTTCCCGTTTTAAGGGACTTGTTAGGCCCAGTAGAACCAGAAATATCAATTTTTTTTTAGTAATCAACATGGCGCTGAACAATCGTTCGCACAAAATGTGGCCGCGAATTTGCATTCTGTCAAGTATGCAACGTTGTGAATTCTAGAGCACATTTGTACAAATTTCCTTTGTTTTTAAGGTGCGGGTTATCCACCAGTGCGGGTAATCTGTTGACTTTTTTTT